AAGACCAAAACCCACCATGACTAAGGCCCTCGGGCTGGGTGGTCTCTTGTCTAGAACATTCCTTCGGGTGGGCGGTTGGTCGAAGACCTCCTGTTTAGAACATTCCTCGGGGTGGGCAAGTGTGAAGATAAATCCCTCGCAATGAAGACCTTATAGCCAAGTGGGAAAACATGGAGACAAGAACACCACGACGAGCGCAACTTCCAGACCAGAGGACGAGCACAAAAGCTTGAGCGTAACAGAGAACTCCAGTGGCGCAGAAAACCCATCATGTTTAAGGCCACGAGGCTAGATGGTCACATGTTTCGACCACCTCTAGGGGTGGGCATGTGTTCAAAATTTAAAACCCATCATGTTTAAGGCCACGAGGCTGGGTGGTCACATGTCTCGACCACCTCTAGGGGTGGGCATGTGTTCAAAAATTTAAAACCCATCATGGTTAAGGCCACGAGGCTAGGTGGTCACATGTCTCGACCACCTCTAGGGGTGGGCATGTGTTCAAAAATTTAAAACCCATCATGTTTAAGGCCACGAGGCTGGGTGGTCACATGTCTCGACCACCTCCAGGGGTGGGCATGTGTTCGAAAATCTAAAACCCATCAAAGTGTATGTGTGTATGTTAGGACTAAATCATTCAAGTGATCGTGAGGCAAACATAAAAACATTATCTAAATAACGAAGAATGGGCTGACTAATGAAAGCGTGTTATTCATACGTCAAAAAGCGCATCAATCACACTCTGAAGTCCGCTTTGGTGTTTCCATCAAGGAGCTATGACAAAGGCAGTAAGTCTAATTATTAAGAGCATCATCGAAGATCAAGGCAAGTCGAAAAACAAAATATCACCATTCCACGAACATAGCAAAGTTCATCGGAGTACATAGTTTAGATTCAAAACAGACAAACTGGAAAATATAAAGCTAAAACTAAGGAGGAGGAGTTGCGGTGGAATCAGCGTTGCTCTGATTAACGTTGGGATCGGGCGGATGGATGGTCCTAGAGGTCGAGTCGTAAGCTTCATTAAGTGGACGCTGGCGCATGGA